CAATTTAAGATTAGCATAAAAAATACAATAGCTTCATTTTATTTTATTATTTTATTATTATTATTATTATTATTATTATTATTTTATATTTTCATAACATTTACATGCGTCTGAATCGCAGCAAACACAGTAGCTCTCAGCTTTGCCGCTAGTTTTGATTTTGTTTTGACAAGCTACTGGGATTAGAATGTGTTGACAAAAAAACTCAGTAAATCGATGAATTTGAAAAGAACCACAGTATTTAATTTCAGTTTGAAATTCGTATATATTGTGGTAGTTAGTCCTGGAATACACAAAACAAGTATGTATCCATACTTACAGTATGTATATGCATTATGTATCCATATACATATATATGTATTCCAAGGCGTGTCACTGCATATTACCCTTTAAGGTGCCAATGTGGGAAGGGTAATTGTGTTTTCAGCGAGTGGATTCAGCCGCTCAACCTCCTCTCGGATAGCTATGCGGCCGTTGTTGATCCTGTCCAGCAGCTGCTGCGTGTCGCCTCGGGCTCGTGGCAGCAGCGCCCTGGTTCCGTCCGTGATCCTCTTCCCGTCTGCGCGATCAGGTCGATCAGGTCGTCGAACTCTTCGATGAAGCTGTTTGGCGCTGACGGTGCCGCTGTCTATTTGGTCAGCGTTTTCGTCGTCGACAGGGGCTGTGGCGTCGCTGAGGAACTGGATGTACCTGGTCAGCAAAGTCTTCGGCGTCGATGCGGTCCTGATGCGTGAAGGCCAGGTGCAGAGTGGTGTGTGGAGCCAGTTGTGGCAGGTCACCTGTGTTGTGGAGCCAGTTGTGCAGAGTCACCTGTGGTTGTGGAGCCAGTTGTGCAGAGTCACCTGTGGTTGTGGAGCCAGTTGTGGCAGAGTCACCTGTGGTTGTGGAGCCAGTTGTGGCAGAGTCACCTGTGGTTGTGGAGCCAGTTGTGGCAGAGTCACCTGTGTGGCAAACAGTCGTTGGTTGTTTCAGGCGTGAAACCCGTTGCTGTGGAATCAGCCGTAGTGACATCGGTTGTAGTGACAACAGTTGTGGGTGCATCAGCTGTGTGGCAGATTGTTGGCATCAGTTTGTAGTGGCATCGGTTGTGGGTGCATCAGCTGTAGTGGCATCGGTTGTAGTGGCAATCAGTTGTAGTGCATCGTTGTTAGAGTCATCAGCTGTATGGCATCGTTGTAGTTGCATCAGTGTAGTGACATCAGTTGTGGTGGCTCGTTGTTGCATCAGTGCAGTGGTGTCAGGTTGTTGGTCAGCAATCATCGGTTGTAGTGCATCGCATCAGTTTGTAGTGCAGTCGGTTTTGTGGTGGTCAGTCATACGGTTGTGTATCGGCAGTCATCTGTAGTTCGGTTGTTCCATTCCTGTAATCAGTTGTATCAGTTGTTGGTTAGCAGGTCAATGTGCATCAGGTGGCATCGGTTTAGTAATCCGGCAGTGGCATCGGTTGTGGTGACATCAGTTGTAGTGGCATCGGTTGTAGGTGCATCGGTTTGTGGTGTCATCGCTGTGTAGTGACATCAGATGTAGTGCATCGGTTGTAGTGGCATCAAGTTGTAGTGGCATCAGTTGTGGCATGGCATCAGTTGTAGTGGCATCATTGGTGTCGGTGTGGTGCATCGGTTGTAGTGGCATCGTTGTGCTGTCAGTGTGCATCAGTTGTGTGCATCGGTTGTGTGGCATCGGTCATGGGCATTGTGGTGAAATCAGTTGTAGTGGCATCGCTTGTGCGTGACATCAGTTGTAGTGGCATCGGTTGTGTGTGACATCAGTTGTAGTGCATCGGTTGTGGTGAAATCAGTGCATCGGTAGTGGGTTGTCATGGCATTTGTAGTGAGTTGTTCATCAGTTGTAGTGGCATCAGTAGGTTGGCATCACATCCAGTTGTAGTGACATCCGTTGTGGTGGCATCGGTTTGTAGTGGCATCAGTTGGTGGTTACGTGTGTGTGCATCGGTTGTGGTGACATCGTTGTAGTGGCATCGCGTTAATCATGTTGACATCAGTGTGGCATCAGTTGTAGGTGCATCGGTTGTAGTGGCATCGGTTGTGGTTGTTGTGGCACATCAGTTGTGTAGTGGCATCGGTCTGTGGTGACATCATTGTAGTGGCATCGGTACATCGTTGTAGTGGCATCGTTGTGGTGGCATCGGTTGTGGTGGCATCGGTTGTAGTGGATCAGTTGTCAGTGGCATCGGTTGTAGGGCATGACATCCGTTGTAGTGCATCGGTTGTGGTGGCATCAGTTGTAGTGACATCGGTTGTCAGTTGACATAGTTGTAGTGGCATCAGTTGCAGTGGCATCGGTTGTGGTGGCATCGGTTGTAGTGGCATCAGTTGTGGTGGCATCAGTTGTAGTGGCTTCGGTTGTGGTGACATCCGTTGTAGTGGCAGTGGCATCGGTTGTGGTGGCATCGGTTGTGGCATCGGTTGTGGTGACATCAGTTGTAGTGGCATCGGTTGTGGTGGCATCAGTTGTGGTGACATCAGTTGTAGTGGCATCGGTTGTGGTGGCATCGGTGTGGTGGCATCAGTTGTGTGGTGGCATCGGTTGTTGTGGCATCAGTTGTGGTGCAATCGGTTGTGTGTGCATCAGTTGTAGTGGCATCGGTTGTGGTGGCATCAGTTGTCAGGTGGGCATCAGTTGTGGTGGCATCCAGTGTGGTCAGTCAGTGTAGTGGCATCGGTAATGGTGACATCAGTTGTGGTGCATCGGTTGTAGTGCAGCGTTGTCGGTGTGCACTCGGTTGTGGTGGCATCCGTTTGTGTGCATCGTTGTGGTTGCAATCAGTTGTGTGGCATCGGTTGTAGTGACATCAGTGTGTATCAGTTGTAGTGGCATCGGTTGTGTGGCATCGTTGTGTGGCATCAGTTGTAGTGCTTCGGGTTGGCATCCGTTGTAGTGGCATCGGTTGTAGTGGCATCAGTTGTAGTGGCATCGGTTGTGGTGGCATCGGTTGTGGTGGCATAGGTTGTGGTGACATCAGTTGTGGTGCATCAGTTGTGTCGTTGGTGGCATCGGTTGTGACAGCAGTTGTAGTGACATCAGTGTGTGCATCCGTTGTAGGTATCGGTTGTGGTGCATCGGTTGTAGTGGCATCAGTTGTTGGCATCGGTTGTATGGCATCAGTTGTGGTGCATCGGTTGTTGTGGGCATCGGTTGTGGTGGCATCGGTTTGTGTTTGGTGGGTTGTACTCGGTTGTAGTGGTCACATCGTTGTAGTGCATCGTTTAGTGTCATGTGGCATCGTTTGTGTAGTGACATCAGATGTGGTAGCATCGGTTGTAGTGGCATCAGTTGTGGTGGTATCGGTTGTAGTGGCATCGGTTGTAGTGACATCAGTTGTGGTGGCATCGGTTGTTGTGGCATCGGTTGTAGTGGCATCAGTTGTAGTGCCATCGGTTGTAGTGCATCGTTGTGGTGGCATCGGTTGTAGTGGCATCAGGTTTGTGTAGTGGCATCAATTGTGGTGGCATCAGTGTAGTGGCATCGGTTGTGGTGTCATCGGTTGTATTGCATCGGTTGTAGTGCATCGGGTGTGTAGTGGCATCAGTTGTGGTGGCATCGGTTGTAGTGGCATCAGGTGTGCATCGGTTGTAGTGGCATCAGTTGTGGTGCATCGGTTGTAGTTGGCATCGGTTGTAGTGCCATCGGTTGTAGTGGCATCAACTGTGGTGGCATCGTTGTAGTGGCATCAGTTGTGTGGCATCGGTTGTAGTGGCATCAGTTGTAGTGGCATCAGTTGTGGTGGCATCGGTTGTAGTGGCATCAGTTGTGTTGCATCGGTTGGATGTGTTGGCATCGGTTGTAGTGGCATCGGTTGTAGTGCCATCGGTTGTAGTGGCATCAACTGTGGTGGCATCGGTTGTAGTGGCATCAGTTGTGGTGGCATCGGTTGTAGTGGCATCAGTTGTAGTGGCATCAGTTGTGGTGGCATCGGTTGTACTGGTTGCTGGCTCGCCAGCGGCTTGCCTCCGAACTCTCCTTCGGCCGGTGCTGTCGATGGTGCCGAGTCTGTCGCTGGCCTCGTCCAGGGCCGCTTCCAGAGCCCCCAGGGAAGGGTCGATGGTTGCGAGCTCTAGAAGCCTTGCAGTTACGTTGAAGGCAATAGTGGTGGTAGGTATGGTTGTAGTTGTGATGGCCGTAGTCGTTGTTTTCGGCCGTCGTTGTATCTACAGCCGTTGATGTGACTGCAGTAGTTGTATCTATTGTGGTTGTATCTGCAGTCGTAGTATCTACAGTAGTTGTACCTGCAGTGGTTGTATCTGCAATTGTTGTATCTGCAGTCGTTGTATCTGCAGTTGTTGTAACAGCAATCGTTGTTGTATCTGCAGTAGTCGTATCTGCAGTGGTTGTTGTATCTGCAGTAGTTGTATCTTCAGTGGTTGTTGTATCTGCAGTGGTTGTATCTGCAGTGGTTGTTGTATCTGCAGTCGTATCGCAGTAGTCGTAATCTGCAGTGTTTGTTGTTTCTGCAGTGGTTGTAATATCTGCAGTGGTTGTATCTGCAGTGGTTGTTGTATCTTACAGTGTGTATCTGCAGTGGTTGTTGTATCTGCAGTAGTCGTATCTGCAGTGGTTGTTGTATCTGCAGTGGTTGTAATATCTGCAGTGGTTGTATCTGCAGTGGTTGTTGTATCTGCAGTAGTTGTATCTGCGAGTGGTTGTTGTATCTGCAGTATCGTATCTGTTGTATCTGCAGTGTTGTTGTATCTGCAGTATCTGCAGTAGTGGTTGTATCTGCAGTGGTTGTTGTATTCTGCATGGTTGTTGTATCTGCAGTTATCTGCAGTCGTTGTATCTGTTAGTTGTATCTCAGTAGTAGTATCTGCAGTAGTCGTATCTGCAGTGTTGTATCTGCAGTGGTGTATCTGCAGTCGTTGTATCTCCAGTAGATGTATCAGCAGTCGTTGTTGTATCTGCCGTTGTTGTAACAGTAATCGTTGTTGTATCTGCAGTGGTATCTGCCGCAGTTGTATCTGCTGTTGTTGTAGCAGCAGTTGTTGTATCTGCTGTAGTATCTGCTGTAGTTGTATCTGCTGTTGTTGTAGCAGCAGTTGTTGTATCTGCAGTTGTAGCAGCAGTTGTTGTATCTGCAGTTGTAGCAGCAGTTGTTGTATCTGCAGTAGTATCTGCTGTAGTTGTATCAGCAGTTGATGTTGTATCTGCAGTAGTCATTGCATCTGCATCTGCAGTAAATGTTGTATCTGCAATAGTTGATGTATCTGCAGCCACTGTATCTGCGATAGTTGTAGTTGCAGTAGCTATATCTGCTATTGTCGTTTGTGGTTCCAGGCTGCGGTTAGGGGTGGTTTGCGGTCCCAGGGCTGGTTAGCGGTTGCGGTGGGGTTTGAGTTAGCGGTTGCGGTCCAGGGCTGGTTAGCGGTTGCGGTCCAGGGCTGGTTAGCGGTTGCGGTCCAGGGCTGGTTAGCGGTTGCGGTCCAGGGCTGGTTGCGGTCCAGGGCTGGTTAGCGGTTGCCAGGGCTGGTTAGCGGTTGCGGTCCAGGCGGTTGCGAGCGGTTGCGGTCAGGGCTGTAGGGCTAGGGCTGGTTAGCGGTTGCGGTCCAGGGCTGCGTCCAGGTGGTTAGCGGTTGCGGTCAGGCTGGTGGGTTGCGGTGCAGGGCTGGTTAGCGGTTGCGTCCAGGGCTGGTTAGCGGTTGCGGCAGGGCTGGTCGGTTGCGGTCCAGGCTGGTTAGCGGTTGCGGTCCAGGGCTGGGTTAGCGGTTGCGGTCCAGGGCTGGTTAGCGGTTGCGGGGGCTGGTTAGCGGTTGCGGTCCAGGGCTGGTTAGCGGTTGCGGTCAGGGCTGGTTTAGCGGTTGCGGTCCAGGGCTGGTTAGCGGTTGCGGTCCAGGGCTGGTTAGCGGTTGCGGTCCAGGGCTGGTTGCGGTCCAGGGCTGGTTAGCGGTTGCGGTCAGGGCAGCGGTTGCGGGCTTTTGTTGCGGTGGGCGGTTGCGTCCAGGGCTGGTTAGCGTTGCGGTCCAGGGCTGGTTGTGGCTAGGGCTCGGTCCAGGGCTGGTTTGCGGTCCAGGGCTAGTTTGCGGTTGCGGTCCGAGAGAGGTCTGTGGTTGCGGTCCAATCGTGGTACCTGGGTCCTTTTTGACTGGTAAAAGAGCCTAGAATTAGTAACTCCACACGTAACCAAATATTAGTATAGAAATCACTTAATAATCATCCTCTTTGGGGCAGTTTCATTGATGTCCTTGTTATCAGTATTACTCCCATGATTCAGAATCTTATTACCATCATCATAACTATCGCTAGTATTCTCATCATGAGAGTCATGGTGATGACGATGAAGACGGCGATGCTTACGATAGTAATGATGGTGACGAATGATTATCAAATCAATGTAACATCAAAATCGTCGTAAATTGATTGTTATTACTATCATAATCAAATATATTTTCAAAATGAAAATACGCTACTGCGAAGCGAATTGTGCCTTTGTTCTAATGTTCCTATTTATGACAGTTCTAGCAGTTCATACAGCTGATGGGTGGTGTATTCATGAATCATTTCACCTATAAACTAATTTTGATTCCTAATTTTGTTCATAGCATTATCATTAGTAGCATTATTGACATATCACTGGAACATTTTGTCATTAAATAATCGCGACGATAATCATACTGACATAAATTAACAGTAAAATAGATAGTACACTTCGTATTTGTATATATGTATGCTTAAAGCCATTCATTATCATGTAGATTTTCGAGTACTTGTGTATCTGTGCTTTACGCAATTTTCTTTCACTTACCTAGACAGCAGACTTTGGGTTCCTTGCATGGCTTCTTCACCTTGACGATTCTACCGTTGCACTTTCCTTCCTTCTTACACTTCCCTCCTCGGTCGCGACAGGTGCGGATTAAGCAGCATACCTTACCAGCTTTGCACTTCTTGCTGGGGTTTAACACTTTGCTTTGACATGTGTCTTCCTTTTTACACTGTCCACTTAGTGATTTACAAGTTGTTCCCTTTTCACAACAGACCTTACCACTCTTGCACGGTACAGAGGGAGTAAGTATATCCCCGTCGCATTTGGCTTCCTCTCGACATGTACCTCCCAGATCTTTGCATTTGCTTTTTCCTTTTTCACAACAGACCTTACCATTCTTGCACGGTACAGAGGGAGTAAGTATATCCCCGTCGCATTTGGCTTCCTCTCGACATGTACCTCCCAGATCTTTGCATTTGCTTTTTCCTTTTTCACAACAGACCTTACCATTCTTGCACGGTACAAAGGGAGTAAGTATATCCCCGTCGCATTTGGCTTCCTCTCGACATGTTCCTCCCAGATCTTTGCATTTGCTTTTTCCTTTTTCACAACAGACCCTACCATCCTTGCATGGTATAGAGGGAGTGAGTACGTCCCTGGTGCATTTGGCTTCCTCTCGACATGTACCTCCTAGATCTTTGCATTTGTTTTTTCCTTTATTACAACAGACCTTACCATCCTTGCATGGTATAGAGGGAGTAAATATTTGCCCTGTGCATTTGGCTTCCTTTCGACATCTACCTCCCAGATCTTTGCATTTATCATTTCCTTTATTACAACAGACCTTACCATCCTTGCATGGTATAGAGGGAGTAAATATTTGTCCTGTGCATTTGGCTTCCTTTCGACATCTGCCTCCCAGATCTTTACATTTATTATTTCCCTTTTTGCAACAAATCTTTCCATCTTTGCATGGCTTGTTGGGCTTTAAGACTTCCGTGTTACATTTTGCTTCTTCTTTACAGTTTCCTCCCACTTGTTTGCAGTTCCCTTTTTGTGCTTGCTTGCAGCAGACTCTTCCTTCCTTACAACCTTTAAATTTCATGGTCGTTCCCCTACAATTTTTTACACATCCAAAGCCCTTCGATTTGCAGTTGTTCTTTGTGGTTTTCTTGCAGCAGCTTCTATCCTTGTCTGGGCATTGGAAGGAAAGAGGCTCTTTGCACTTTTTGTTAGGTTTCTTGCAAACTCCTCCTGCTGCCGTGCAGTCGTTTTGGCTATAACTTGGCTCCGAGGATTTGCAGGGTTTCTACAGCACACCTTACCGTTGGGACACGCTCTTGTTTTATCAGAATGACCGCGGCACTTGGACTTACATCTCCCATAATCCTTCGTACATTTCTTGGAGCCTTTGGAAAACCAGAAAAAGATAAAGCTTTAGGGATACTTTGTCTTGTTGTGAACAGAGAACATAATTATGGTGACATGATAAATCTTAATATATGCAAATAAAAATGTGTATACATATGAATACACACACATATATAAGGAAATAGACATAATAAGAAATGAAATTCAATCGTAATGTATTGAACTTGTCAACATTTCCTCATCAGATGAACATACACACATATCTCTGTCTATATATGGTAAAACACCCAATCACGTTGATACTAAGGCAGAAAAATCCACAATGCACAAACTAGATTTAATGAAAATGAAGTAATAATTTCGAAATCCTACTATACTTAATCTTCAGGTCTGAATAAGAGAGAGAGAGAGAGGGGGGGATATGAAAGTGAGAGAGAGGCCATGCTATGAATATAGAACAGGAGAGAATATGTGAAAAGAAGCAATATGTATATATATATATATATATATATATATATATATATATATATGTGTGTGTGTGTGTGTGTGTGTGTGTGTGTGTGTGTGTGTGTGTGTGTGTGTGTGTGTGTGTGTGTGTGTGTGTGTGTGTGTGTGTGTGTGTGTGTGTGTGTCTTATACACATGTTTATATACATGCGCAAATATATATACACCCTATATATATATATATATATATATATATATATATATATATATATATATATATATGTATGTATATACATATACATATATGTGTGTGTGTATTTGTGTTTGTGTGTATGTGTGTGTGTGTGTGTGTGCATGTATGTATGTATATATATACATATACACATATAAATATATGAACATATAAACACATAAGCATACACATTCACTCACACACACACACACACACACACACACACACACACACACACACACACCACACACACACACACACACACACACACACACACACACACACACACACACACACACACACACACATATATATATATATATATATATATATATGTATGTATATATATATATATATATATATATATATATATATATATATATATGCATGTATACAGAAGAACATAAAAAAAAAAAAAAAAAAACACTCATTCAAACATGTCTCTCTCTCTCTCTCTCTCTCTCTCTCTCTCTCTCTCTCTCTCTCTTCTCTCTCTCTATATATATATATATATATATATATATATATATATATATATATTCATATACATATACGACTACACAAGCACACAGACACACACACATATGTATATAAATATATATATGTGTATATGTATATATTATATTATATATATTTATGTACACACACACACACACACACACAGACACATACACACACACACACACACACACACACACACACACACACACACACACACACACACACACACACACACACACACACACACACACACACACACATATATATATATATATATATATATATATATATATATATATATATATATTATATATATATATATATACATATACACAAGCACACACATACATACATATGTATATACATCTATAAGTGTATATATATATGTATATATATATATTATTTATATATATAATATACATATATATATATATATATATATATATATATATATATATATATATATATATATATTGCATATATATTATATAATATATATATATATATATATATATATATATATATATATAAATATATACATTTATACATATATATACATACATCATGTATATGTATATATAAAAATATATATATGTATACATACAGATATATAGATATATACATGTATGTGTGTGTGTGTGTGTATGTGTGTATTTATGCGAATTTATGCACTTTTATTCATAGGTATATATATATATATATATATATATATATATATATATATATATATATATATATATATTATATATATATATACCTATAGACAGCGAGAGGAGGGAATAAAGAATTCAATTAACGGTTACTTATTTACCTTGTGTTTGGATCTTTTTCTTATTATAAATTTGTTTCTTCGTTTTCGCTTGATTTCTGGGCTCCGTCGCTTTTGCCGATTTTGTTTCGACCGACAACT